AGTAGTTGTGATAGTAGCGGCAGCAGCAGCAGCAGCAGTCATCATCATCATTATTGTTGTCATCGTTGTCTCTTGTCATTGTCATTGTAGGAGTTAACATTTATTGCCCCTTTTTACACCCAGGTATGATGAAAAGTTCTCTATATTCATTGCATTATTAAAACCTCACAGCAACTGTGTGAAATGAGTCAGTTGCTGTTTCTCTTGTAGAGTTGAAGAAACTGAGACTCTGAGAGGTGAAGCAACTTGCCTGAGGTCACAAAACTAATAATCTGGAGAATCAGTATTCAAACCCAGGTTATCTGATTTTGGAACCTGAATACAGTGCCATGTAGTATTGGGGAATATATTCATTAGCTCTGTCACTAACTCCAATGCCTATAAGAGCCCGGCCAGAAATGAACATTTGTAGAGAGAGCCCAGGGTTAGCAAGGCAACAGTGCAAGCAGGATGATAAATGGCAGCTGACATTATTCCTCAGCGTTGGGTGTCATAAGTTATGCTGAGGACTGTGACTTACTGGAGAACATATAGCCAGGGTGAAAAAAAGCTAGCTGCTACTTACTCTATCGGTTGTTATCTTAAGGGAATAAGCTTCTGAAACGTGACTTTTTGAAAAAGATGATGGAAATATAGATTTTATATCATATTTCCTGATTATGAAGTGCTGACAATGAACTCAAACAACAAAACTAAACTAATCACTGTGAAGGTTAAAGTAATTACATTTGGGGACCAAATTTGGCCCAGTTTATAACCTCTCTCAGGCTAAAAATTTTGCAACATTATAACCATTTCGGTGAGTGATGACTGTACAAGAAGAGATGTATTGTTCCCCATTGGCCAATAGTTGGACCATCCTTCGCCACTCCGCCTACTATTGCTTAACAGAATACTGGAAAAATCCCAGTTCATTCAATGTTGTGTAAAAACTAAAATACATAAAGTACATAACAGCCCTATTCTTGAGTACCTACTGTGTGCCAAGCACTTTAGATATGCTATTTTATTCATTTTAATCCCACAGCAACCCTGCTTACCAGGCGAGGAAAGAGATCTGAGCAGTTCAATAACAACAGTAGCAACAACATCTCGCCAAAGGCATTCCTCTAGAAAGGGGCAACGTGGCTTTGAGTCTGTGTGTGCGTTATTCCAATGCTCTTATGCTGCCCAGCCCTCCTGCCTTTACAGTGAACCATTGCAGGGAGGTTAGCATTGTGCTAGAACTTAACTAAGCAGAGACAGGCTTGCCATGTTGTTGTGATTTTCAGTTTCTGTGGGGGATAGTTCCTCGAATCAAAATGATCCCTGAATGCCACTGGAAATTCTTCCATTTCCCCTTATCATCCAGCCTGAAATGCTGGCCTTTAGAGATTCTTTTGCATTATCAAGCACATTCCTGGGAAGGCCCCTGCTTAAGCAATCTTTCCTTCATTTGCATGTGAACATGAAGTTAATCAGATTACATCCTTCAAACCACTGCCGAGATCATGGGAATTTTCCTGGAATGGCAGGGCAGAGGAAGGGGCCACTCTGAAGTGTGGGTCATGTTCAGGTGGGGTGACTGGAATCTGCCCCTTGTGTCACAGGCAGGCTTCTGGCCAGCTCAGAAGCAGGCGAGTGTACACACAAGTTTGTTCGCTACAGTACTTTGTTTTTTGCCTAGAGCCGTCCCCTCAAACAGATGAGGCCATATTATTGCTTGGTGCTTTTTATCCTGTTATAGTAATACTACAAGAATGCAGCATTTTTGCTTTGAGTAGATTTTGGACATGCTTTATACTTCTAAAATAAAAATGTAATCTTTAAAAAAATTAATATGTTTTGGTCAGATTAAGGAACAGATCCATTGAATAATGAAAAAGAAAACAAAGCTGAAGAAATAATCACAAAATGGCTGTCTCTATGGGATAGGATTATGATGGACTTTTTAAGTATTTTCTGAATTCTTTATAATAAGATAACTCATTTTAAAAGGAGAACAAAAAAGAGTTTTGTTACTGAAGCAGAGTGAGTGAAAAAGAACTCCCAGTTGTCAAGGTGAGGTAAGAACAAGGTGGGGAAGTTTTACTGCTTCTGCAGCCAAATTTGAAATTACCTCAAGGAGGGGGGGGGGGTCTGACTGAGGGCACAGGGCACATGGGGGGGAGCTATGGAGGCTCTCTCCCTCCTTCTCCCTACTCCTGAAGCCCCAAGGAGTGTGGGGTTCCCCCAGATTTTCTTCCTCCTTCAGGCAACAGAGAGAAGAGTTGGAAGAACTGAGGGTGATTCAGTGCTGAGTTCCCTGACATCTGCTAAGCCTTAGTCCTGTGATTTATTAGACAGCTTTGCCCAAAACAGCCCCTTAATGTGGAATGTGCCAACCCTTGTACAATTTGCTCATGCTTCCTTACAGCCTGAACCCTCTCTCTCCCAACTACTTGGTAATTCCAGAAGACTTGTACTTTCTTCCCCTTTTCTTTCATTTTGGACACCAGTTCTGAACAAATTTTATTCCTTTATTATGTTTCAGATGCAACTTGAGACCCTCAATTCAATTCCCTAATTATTTGTCAATGGTAATCGTTGCTTTTTCTTAACTATAGTATATTGTCTTTCTACAAAAGTTTGAATTTTCCAGGAATAGAAGAGTTGTATTTTTTCAGCTTTACTGAAGCATAATTGACAAATAAAATTGTAAGGCATTTAAGGTGTGCAATGTGATGATTTGCTATAAGAAGAGTAGTATGAATGTGTCTATAACAGAGAAGAGCTAAGCTTTACTTCTTGTAAATAAACTCAAGACTGATGGACAGTGATTGTAAGTAGAATAAAGTTGAGTGATACAGATTCGTTCAGCTCTTTACACCTACCCACTCTCACTGGTCAGTCTCCAGAGTCGTTGAGAGGTACTGAAGAGTAAGAAGGCTATGAAGAAGAGTATCAGAAGCTAGGAATTCAGAAAGCTCTTTGGCCATTAAAGGCAAAATGGCCATCATATCTTTTAAAATCAAATGTTGTGTAATTATTTCATTTGTCTAATCCAGAGATATCTGGTACTTGGAAAGGCTTTTATGGGTAACTGCTCTATTCTCTGTGATATTCTTCTAGATAAAAACCATTTGTTCAGTTCCCAAAAAATCTGTTCTACAGCAGTGTCTTTTAATATGACATGTTCCTCAATGATTTCTCTTTAAAAATCTATCCACCTCTGTGATGTGTTCTCTTGTCAGCTCATCTATTTAATTTTGACTGCCCTTTTCTAAATTGAAGCCATCAGTGCTCTTGGCACCAGCAGATTCCTGTCAATCCCCTTTTCATCCATTATTTCTCTGTCTATAGCTAAGCCTGCCCACTTGGCCCCCTAACCTGTAGCCATCCAGAATTGCTTGCTCGTCCTGCTCTTGTGCTCCCCTGACTTAAATAGCTGTGTCTTCTAAGGCCTTCTCTCTCCCTATAACGTGATGAAACCACCCTACTATTCTTTAAGATTCACTTTACATTTAACCTGCCCCAACCTTTCTCCACTTTGGCCTTCTGCCTCAAGCAAAATGGGGCTGTGTGCCCTTTGTGCTCTGGTATCTCAGGTGTCAGCATCCTTGTCTCACTCTGCAGCCCAGTGTTCTTCCAGGTAGAGTGCAGGTCAATCCTATGCAGGAAGGTGCAGGAAGGCAGTGCCAAATCTCCTATTTATATTTACTTCAAATCTAAGGAAATAAAGTAAGCTTTTCTAATCTTTAATGCATGGATGGATCCTGGTACCTTCATCCAGTCCCTCATTATACCAAGTTTGATCTCACTCATTTGCTCATATTCAGCATGTTGAGAAATATTGTAATTTTATCTGGTTTTAAGAGGATTTACAGATTATGTTAGCTTCTTTTTAATTAAAACTAACCTTCATAAAATGGACAAGTGCCTTAAATGTATCCCTACAAAGGTCCCTGGATTGTAGATGATACTTGTAATGGAGTCACAAGTGTCCAGAAGCCAGAGCTGCCTGCTCTGTGAGGCCCCCCTCAGCAGCGGTGTGGCATGTGCCTGTGGGCAACTCTATGGAGAGGTCCTACCATCAGACCCAATTGGTAAAATAATTATTGTGTAAAATAATCACAATAAAATAATATTGTGATTATTTTATAGGTAAAAATAATCACAATAGCAATCTGATTGCATTTTATAAAAGATTTAAAGCAGGGGTTGGCAAACTTTTGAGATGGAAGAGCCAATCCTGTCCCTCACGACAATTTAAAAATTATTCGAGGGCCGGCCGAGTGGCTCAGTTGGTTAAGAGCTCACTCAAGAGTTTGAGCTCTGAGCAACAGCAGTTCGAGTCCAGCCCGAGCTGAGCAGCCGCTGAGCTGCCAACAGGTAGCAGGATGGCTCAGCTAAAACAACAACAAAAAAAAAATTATTCGAGAGCCATAAAACAAATGAAATCACCATTATGTGAATAAAAACCTTTAAAAATTTTATAAATGAAACTATGATAGTTTTATTTTCATTTTCAATTTTACTTCAGAGCCACATGTACATATCCAAAGAACCCCATGTGGCTCTCGAGCTGCAGTTTGCTGACCCCCGATTTAAAGTAATTAAAAACATTTAAAATATAGATTTTCATCAGTTATTGCTATCTAATAGGAACAATATCCTAAGGGTTTATTCTACCCTGAGATATTAGATGAAAGAAATACAATAGTAGTCATAATATATAAAAATTATAATAATTTACAAATAGGAAATATCCATTATTGACAAAACATAGTAAAAAAAATTGACTAGGAGTATATAATAAAAAACATTTAGAGATCATAACTGTGAGTTTAGATACCATCTGCTTAGAGCTCTGGACAGAGACTGTCTTCTTCACCCTTGTAGCTCCAACACCTAGCACAATGACTGGCACATAGTATATGCTCAGTAAATACTGAGTGAGTGAATAAATCAATGAAAGAACCAATACTGAAAGGTGAATGCTCCGCAGAGAAACCTAAGTCATTTTTTCTATTTTAAGCTCGTACCCAGAGCAGCCTAAGACTGGAGATGGGGAATGAAGATGAAACAATCAGATGACTCAGATGCAGGAGGATGATTTATGTCTGAGGCCATGTGGTGAAATGATGACCCTGCAACATGAAAAGCCTGGTGAGGTCATCACTTCCTGTCTCATAGGGAAACAGAGACTGCCAGCCACGTGGAAGAATTTAGGATCATTCTTGTGATTTTGCCCAAAAACTGCACCTCAGTGCTCAGCTCCTCATCCGGAGTCTTGGCCTCTCACACCTTCCACTTGTGCCTCTGTTACTGGGGAAACTTTGTGGAATGCTCACCCGAATTCCTGAATGATTTTATCTCGAGTCTGATCACAGGTATTTTCTGATAAGTGATTACAACTTTACTTGCATAACCCTGCAAGTCCAGGCCTCTTCCTTCAATATAGTGGCAAAAGTCTTTTAAATTCATGTCTTGCTAATGCACCAAAAATCTCACCTTGGGACTCAACTATTTTTTACTATTTAAGGATTTTCTTTGGAAGTTCTGGGTTTCTAACAGAGGGATCCTTTCATGATTTCTATTCATAAATAATATTAACTGATAAGGAAAGCAATATGGGCTAGCAAGTTGTGTTTTCAAAAGTAAAGAACGATATCATTCTCCCAATACTTTAAAGAAACAAAACAATTTCAATAACTAATAGTATAAAGTTAAGCCTCACTACTTGGCTAGCATATGTTTAATTCATCCATGTCATCTTAATTGTTTTCTAAAATTTTATGGTAGTTATAGCCTAACCTAGTATGTCTTAGGACTAGTAATGTAGGCATTTCAGAAATAATATTGATCTTTTAATTACTGTCTGCCAAACCTTTACATTGCCTGAATGTATTCTTCAGGATTCTTAGTTTACAAGGCAATCTAGTTTAAGCAAAAGAAAAAAAAATGTTGGCTCAGGAATACCAACAAAGGTGGAGCAAATGAAGCCAAGGAAAGGGTAGGATTCAGTGTAGGCTTCAGAAAAATTCCCCACTTCCCTTAGCACGTCAGCTTCATACATGCTCACTGTAGGCCTGTTTCTTTTAATAGAAAACATGGTTTATGACAGCTGTTAAGCTTTATCTTAGGACTTTAGTCACTGGATAAAGGCTGACTTGAAGCTTTCTTTGGCCTTAAGTTGAAAAATCTTGGAGAAGGAATTTTGTTTACAAAAGAGTTTGGCTATTAAAAAGGGGTTGAAACATTTTGCTGTAAGCAATTAATTTGCAATCCCACCACTCTTTTCTTACCCCCTGTTGTATCCCCATCTGCTTTTCCTCAGCATCGTTTTCCTCGTTCTGAACTTGGATCTCCCTGCCTAGTCGTCCCCCCTTCTTGGTCTCCTCCTGGCATATTTGGCCCTTAAAGTTTTCTGTCCTTTGTGCTTGATATGTCTTCTATTCTTTCTATCTCCTTGTCTTGTGTGAAGAATCTCCACCCAGGGAGTCCCCTTCCAGCTTTTTGTCTGGGAGGAATTGAACCATATAATGTGCAACTTTCAAGATTACATAAACCATAGCTGTGTTAAAATTTTCTGATGCTTTTAAAAGGTTTTCACTTAAGGACAAAAAGCAATTATTTTATATCTACTGTAGTCCCAAGCAGCATGTACATAGAGTAGACGTTCTTAAAATAACTTCGTTTGAAAAGTGGGACACCTTCATCAGACAACTAGAATTTTTCTCTGAAACAAGTGCTGAGAAATGAGCTTGATTAGTAAAAAAGTACATAGAGATTGAAGCATGAGAGTGAATGATCAATACAGCCTTTCTGTTTCTGGACAGTCAATTAAGGCTCCTTCTCCACCAGCTCCAGCAGAGCCTAACCTGAGTCAGCTTTGACAATGACATTATTTCACTGTGACCAAAGGAGTGCCAGCCCGTTTTTGAGCAGAACATTTCATCTTCGTTATTCCTCTTCAATTTTTTGTGCTGAATTTAGAAAATGAGAGAATCTTGTCCTGGAAATACATTTTGAATACTGAGAAAAACATTGCTAATTAAGTCACAGAGCAGGATAAATCTAAGTAGGTAAAACAATGGTCATGCAGAGCATTCTTTGCTTACCTCTATGGTGAAAATATCTTAAAATGAAGAAAAACTAAGTTTAGCTTGAATTTGCTTATGAAATCATGGATAAGCACTTTTGACAGAGTAATGATCTAGTGCTAAAAAGAATGTGGGTTGAAAATTGTAGTTGATCTAGGATTAGCTCAATTAACTTTATCATAATCTCATGTTCTGCAGTTGATTAGCATGAGTTCTATCAAACATAAACTGTCTTTTAGTTTTTGCTCTAGGTTATTCTTATATAGAATATTTGAGAGAGGTCCTACTTATTTAAACTGAAATCAAATTGATTAAAGAACTATTTTGTCTTTGCTTATATTACCTCAAGTTGTAGAAAGAATGAAAAAATATTATGTTATAAGGAGTTATTCTCACAGCGAAGATCATCAACATATTCTAGATTTAAATGTTCTGTCTGAGAATTTAAATATTTTATGTTTCTATTTCAACAACAATTTTTAAGAAAGAATATAAATATGAAGTCTTAAATCCATTGATAAAATTTTGGCGCCTATTTCCGTGCTCATGGATTAATGATGACATTAGTGCCACATGATCACCTAAGTGACAGTCTATATTTTAATTTATTGTTTCTCAAATCACAGTCTTAAGAGTCGCAGAGACTCTGAACACATTTTCATGCATCTGTGAATACCTTGTAATAACATTAATAACTAATATGTTTTTACTGATATTTTTGATACCAGATGCTCTTCCAAGAAATTTTTGTATATTATCTGCCATAATTCTCACAACTCTAGCAAGTACCACTATTATCTTCATTTTATAGATGGGAAAATTGAGGCACAAAGAAATTAGGGAACTTGCCAAAGTCCTCAGAGCTGGGTTTTAAACCTAACATTTTTAGCTCCAGAGCTCACACTCTTCCTGGTATGATATTTTCCCTTCCTGGTAGGCATAATGGATACTGTTCCTCTCCTTTGTCATTGGTTACCCATATTTATGATCATTAAAAAGTAGTTACTTTCATTAATTTAATGAATATAGATTTCACTTTCTTAGAATAAAATGACTTGCCTCATGTCTTTTTATAATCTCTTTCTCCTTGCCTTTCATAGCTTCTAAATAACCATTTATTTACTTTTCCTTAATATGGATACCTTTGTATTTTCTAGCGTTTATATGATTGGAATCATTAAATGTTTACTCTTTTGTTTCTGGTTTTCTTTATGTTGCATAATTACTTTGAGAGTCATCAGTGACAAAAGTAGCTCATCATTATTTTGTTCTCTTTGAATATACCAATATTAGTTTAAACTTTCATCTCTTTATGGACATTTGGGTAATTTCCAGTTTTTTTACTACTATAAATAAGTCTGTATAAAAAAACATTCACTGGTCTCTATTTTAAGAGTATGACTACTTACAGAACAAATTAATTTATTTATCAACTGTATTTAGAGCTGTCTCTAGAAAACTGTTAAATCATAATGCAACAAAGAAGAGAATTTCTGTTGAGGTATATTATCTTCTTAGGAAGAAGATAATGTTTCCTCTACCCAGTTTCCCTCTTTCTCTTTTCTTTCTGAGCAATCAGTCCTAAAGCCTTTAAATGAGGCCGAACAAGGCTGATTTCAACACCGGAAGGAAGAGGGAACCTTATTGGTCCAGAGGATGGTATTGGAGCCCAAAAAGGGGAAGAAGAGGATTCATTTGAGGGGCTTCTCTGTGCTGGTGTCAAAGACCAGCCAGGATAAAGACTGCATCTGTATGGAGGAGCAGCCTGATGTGAGTGTGAGAACTCAAGTGAAGTGGTGGTAGAGGGGAGCACCTGTGAATGGGGGTGACCCAGTGCAGAGTGTCAGAGGCCAAGCAAGGCGAGGAGAGTGTGAATATATCGAGAGGGGCTGCCAGACATGTGGTTTTGAAATTAAACCAGGGAGAAAAACATCTCTGTGCAGTAGGGAGAAGGGCAGCATGGGAGTCAGAGTGAGGAAGGAGTCTATTTGAAACAGCATAGTCTCCCATGGTATGTTGGAGCTTATATGGTGGTGGTGGGCTGCCTGCTGTGGCTTGTTGGAACTCAAGCGGGGTAAGGAAAGCATTTGTGTAGAGGAGGGATAGCATCAAATTGGGAAATTGGTTATACATGGGGAGTTGATCAAATAATATAAAAAGAATAATGAGAGCTGGGTTTCTTACTGTTGAAATAAGGAGTTATAAATATGAAAACGGGGAAAACTAGAATGAACTTTATACTGTTGCACTGTAGTTGCAGACATCAGTGTGCATGGTGCTTGCCCTATCAATCCATTTTTAAAGATTTTTATTAAAATATACCTGACATACAATATTATATTAGTTTAAGGTGTACACAATAATTATTCAACATTTATATATGTAAAGAAGTGATCACCATGAGAAGTCCAGCAACCAATAGACACCACGCTATCACAACATTATTGACAATATTCTCTATGCTGTACATTACATCCCCATGACTTATTTGTTTTATACCTAGAAGTTTGAACCTCTTATTCCTCTTCACCTTTTCCCCCCTTTTTAATTTTTCAATTATAGTGGACATTCAATATTATTTTATATCAATTTCAGGTGTGTAGCATGGTGGTTGGTTGGACATTTATATAATTTAAGAAATCATCCCCTGACTAGTCTCGTATCCACCTGACATTATACATAGTTATTACCATATAATTGACTGTATTCCCCATGCTTTACATCATTGTGACTATTTTGTAACTACCAACTTGTACTTCTTAATCCCTTCCCCTTTTCCACCCTGTCCCACAACACGCCTCCCATATATCACCCTGATAAATCTAGTACCCATCTGACACCATACATAGTTATTACAATATTATTGACTGTATTCCTGATGCTATACCCTACATCCCAATGACTACTGTGTAACAACTAAATTGTAATCCCTTCCCTGTTTTCAGCCATTCCCAACCCTCCTCACATCTGGCAACCATCAAAATGTTCTCTGTATCTATGACTTGGTTTCTATTTTGTTTGTTTATTTTGGTTTTTAGATTCCACATATAAGCGAAGTCACAT